AACTGGAACATGAGATCTTGTAGACAACCCCTTTTCTTTCAAGATAGCCAACCCTGTCCTTGGGGTGCACAAGCTGTGTACAAGTTTTGACGGCTATTAGTATAGACATTGTGCAGGCTTTATCCTACTAGCGGCATAGATATTACCTTAAAAAAATCAGACAAAGGTACTGCCGGTATCATGGCACTGCATGAGGCAGTTGCGACGGGCTTAGGATATCCTGTCTACGATGTCAGTTAAAAGATGTCTCGAAATGTGTTAGTACATTTTTATCGGAATCTTAAGAGATAGATATGCTTTATTTTGAAAATATCGTTCCAAAATTTTCAGCAAAAACGTCCTCCGTTAACATCGGATATCAAATTAATCCATAATCGCAAATGACTACAATTTTCGACAGCATGGATAAATGTTTTTCAAAACAACGCTGGCGTTGTGGCCTTGCGCTCTTATGACCTCATTGTATTAAAAATAAACAAAAAGAGATAAAAATCGGTTTATAATAGGCGAATTGGGCCAACCGAAGTGTATATAAGAAAATTTGCATGCAATAAGTGGGAGAGGGGAAATGGCGGCTCATATTGAGGAGCCTGCTCTTAAATAATTCAAAGAAGGTACTTGTTATTCATTTGATTCAACGTGGGGAAACTCGGTGGTCTACTTTAGATTCCAAACCACAACAGCATGGAAACGGCCACCTGATCTACGGGCCCAATGGGGATCCGTATGGTTATTCACAATTGGATTAAGGTACCCAAACAACCTACTGCAACAAGTGGAATCCACCATGTGTTGGCTGCCGAAGAATAAGTTTCCTGACAGACCCTCTAGAATCTGCCCGATGACTACCAGGCACAATTTATCAATCATGCTTTTGGCAGGTTTTATTAATTGCACCGAAGCCACCGACTTTTTCCCAACTGGATCAAATGCGTTTTTTTTCTTCAAATCTGCCAAAACCTCCATTAATTAAGTACGCCTGGTGATCAGAAGGTGGATTCTAAAATGATTGCTTAGGAATTCCTTCTTGGGCAATCAGGAGACTGTATCACAATCACTGTATTGCACAGGTTGTTGTAGGCAGGGTAGGTAACTAGACCCGCATGTTATTAATCTCACAGTTCCCGTTGGGGCCTCGTAGCTCGGGAGGGTAGAGAATTGGTCTGACTTTGGCTTTTCCTTGCTGTCCTGAATATGAATTTCACCAAGATCGCCGAGGTTGTAGTGACTAGGCCAAATAAACTATGCATATTTGCCGTCAGTCGTTCTTGTTTATGTAGCTTAATTTAGGCATATAGACGTTCCTTACCGAAGTTCCAATTCACAATAATTTCTGTGGGAATAATTGTAAACGCAGCTCGATGTTTTGGAGATGTCATGCTTACATCTGAACTAGTTTGCTACCTTAATTCTATAAGTTATACGATAAAACGCTATAAAAAAACGTTATAAAAACGTTACCTAAATGAATTCAGTAGCATGCATTGGACACGTAAAAGTGATTATTTCATACGCCTGCAGCAATAAAGGCAATGCAAAGAATGAATGACAGTGAAGTGTACTTTACCACGCTCTCATAGAGACCACGCCCGTGTTGATTTTTATTCTTAGAAAAGAGCATAGTCGAAAGTATTGATTTGAATACACTGGGGTTATAGTGTATAGAGGATCAACGGAAGCAATATGGGTGTCGGCACTGAAATGGATGTTCGCTGCGAACTTCATTTTTGCGGTTATTTCAAAGCTATGTTTCAAATCTATGATGCAATTTTACTGTTGTTTGCCGTTATCACTAATGAATGGTTACTGGGTTGTCAATTTTTTTAATCTCATAAGCTTGCAGTTGTCTGAGGTAACTTTTATAACTTCAATTCAATCTTACTCGCTGAAATAAAACTGACTTCTTTTACGCCTGAAATAGGACAGTACATTGAATACACTAGGGGCCGTTACCCGCGTATATATTGCGCATAATTTCGTCTGGTATTAAATGTTCCAAATATAGCGTTTGCTATGCC